AAGGAGTGCTTCAAATACGAGACAGCTGGAAAACACTGAAAGCCACAGTCTGCAGCGTGCTTCTTCATGGCTGAACACATGTGCTGGATGCAGTCTGGGGCCACAATCTCACTGCAAAGCATGAATTCCTGCACGGCACAGCACCAGGCCCCCTGCTGCAGTGAACCCAGCTGTGCCTGCTCCACTGGCATTGCTTTTACTACTCTGACTAAGAACACTGTCCCCTGAGAACCTGATGGGACGTGTGAGTGGTCTCAGGCAGACATTAGATGGACAAGTGCTTCTGGGCCAAGACATTTGTCTTTCTTGTGAGGTGACTTTTACCAAGCAACACTGAATTCCTTCTTGAAAGAAGCAGGCAAAGAAAGGAATGAGAACAAATGAGGGTAGAAGATATGCTTTCTGAAGACAAAATCATTTTAAAGAACTTATACTTTTGCTAAATCCATAAAGAATCAAATGGAGAGAGGGAGGAAACCTCATGTGGCTCCAGAGAAAGGAAACAGGAACCCACATTGCTTATCTGTGGGGAAGAGTGGAAGGGAGGCTCATTTTCTTAATGAAGGTCCTGCTATTGTCCAGGCAGCTCAGAGTGGCCAGAGGAGGAGCTGGCTCTGCAACCAGAGCATACAGTTACACGAATATTAGCAAATGAACTTGTTTTCCCCTTTCCCCTTTGGTTTCTACCTCAGTGGCACACAATGCCTGCTGGGATCCAGGGGAATCTGCTATTGTTCTGATGCACCTGGGTGTGAAGGGAGTCACAGGGTCTGGCAAAGGAGCCTTCCTCCCTTCCCTGCTTCATCCCTTTTACCCTGAGATAATCCCTCCTCTGCTGCCCCTGGCCTCAGTGATCCAGCTCTGCATTCCTGGAATGTAGCTGGCTGGTGTTCTCCCATCTTTCCCCTGACCTCTTAATGCCGTTTAATCTCCTGGAAGAAGAGCACTGCCCTGCCAAGCAGAGTTGTTTGTTCTGTGTGTCCAAGTGCAGGCTGTGACTAGGAAAAATGAACACGTTCACTTACAGCAAAAGGATTCAAAACAGCAAATAAGATGGCAATTTCCATGCTGTGGCCTGCAAGAGTTTAACAGCATCAGAATGAGCCAGGGAGAGAACTCAGAGAATCCTTTCCACAGTCAGACAAGCTGCTTCAGTACATCAGTGCATTTTCCATTTGTTTCATAGCTGTTTACATTAGTCCCCAGAGCACTGATTCTCTGTAGTTTGCATCAAGAGTGGAACATGATTGAATCTCTCTATTAAAGATATATGTGGAAGAGTCTTTTGTATTTTCTTAAGCTTTACACCTTTTGGTGCATAAATGGAATTAAATATCCTATTTGCTAGTAAATAAAAACAAGCCATAGAAAACATAAACCCAGCTAAGCTGACAAAAGACATTCTAATTATAACAGACACAATTAGAGAGCTGTACAGAACTGCCTGGATCACTCACTTCTAATGAAATTATTCCCTTTCCCAACAAGTCATGTTTCTGGCAGCTTATCATTTGCTAGTTTAATTGTACTAAATCAGGGGTGCTACTGACTGTGGGAAGCTCCTAAGGAGGAATGTTCCTAAGTGTAGGTTTGATTTTGAAGCCTTTGGCTCATCCCGTGTACTCACACCACCTCTTCCAGACTGGAGGGAAGGCTGGGCACAGGTACCAATCCTGTATGAACTCTGTGGGTCCTGCCAAAGTAGCCCCAACAGCTGCTTGGACAAGGAACCTGCTCAAAACAGTCACCATGCCACAGTGCAGTGTTTACTCTCCAAACAGCTCAAAGACAACACAGACACATGTGTTCTACCTGTAAGGTACAAGTGTGGACATGGAAACAAGAGCCCAAACCCCGAGTCACAAATCACCTGCATTGGTGTCCCACTCTGCCCCAGTCAGGGCTTACTGGGCTCCCAGTGCTGCCCTGCCTGGCACACTGGGAAGGATCCTGAGGACAGCTCTGGCAACTGAATATGCAGCATATGTTCAATGCTTCAAGGACATTTTGGTCAGCTTTTAGGACAACAAACCAGAAGAAAGCAAGTAATAGGACGTTCATAGAATCATTAAGGTTGAAAAAAACTGGAAAGATTGTCAAGTCCAACCATCAGCATGCTTGCTGAACCAGCACCACTAGACATGTTCTCTGTAGCTCAGGATCTTCCACAATAATTAACCTTACTCTTCCCCCAAACTTAGAGCACTACTCAGTACTACAAACCTTCCATTTGAATCTTGGCCTTGGCTTGAAAATTGCTCCCTCTTCTCCCCACCCACTAAACCCTGAGCTGCCTGTACTGCTCCTGCTCCTTGTTGAGTAGAGTTGTGCTGTCCCAGAGCCCGTGGCGATAGTTCCTCTATTTGGTTGATGCAGGGATCAATAACAAAGGCACGCCCTGGGTGAAGCATGTAAAGTCGCACCCAGGAAAAGCAGTGGTCCCACCCTCCCACGGTGGTGTCTCACTAAGAACACTCCGTTTAGATCTTTACTACACTGCCCCAGGCTATCTGGCTAAAAATCCTTCTTTTCACCATCAAGGGGAGCTTTCCCACAATGTCTGAGTATTGCAGAAAGCATCACTGAAACAATTCCACAATAAACACGGCTCTCCAATGATGCCTGATCGCCACTCACCAAGATGAGCCAGGACACATAGAATCTCCCCCAGTCAGCCAATTACTGCCAAATTTCGGTGAGCCATCAGCTGAGGGGCTGTGCTTTTACAGGCATTTCAAGGTATTTTACTGATATTTTTTGTAGCCGAACAACTGCAGATACACAACTGTGTTTGGAAAAGCCAGCAACTCCCTCACTCTAGGGTGAGAGATAATGAGTTAAAATTAAAGGTTGTTGCTGGCTCGCTAGCCCATCCCCCTTTAGCTAATCTGTCATGTAATGAAGAGAAGCACCCAGCACAGGACAGCTCGCTGCCGGCTCACTTACAGCGAGCTGATTAAGAATGTTCAACCAACAGCAGACTGCAGACCTTTCCGAGGAAAATAAATAGACTGTATGCAAATGTGTTTGTCACTTTGACAGCACGTCTCAATTAAAGGCCCGGAGCTGCTGCAGCGCTGCGGCCGGGCTCGCTGCACCGCGCCCCACGCCCCTGACCCCGCGCATGCATGCATTCTAAACCTCGCTGCCAGCCGCACAATGTGCGCTCCGAGAGAGCCCTGACAATGAGAAAAAAGCCTCTTTCATCCTCTTCAGTTTAGAAGAGCTGTGAATGCACAAACAGCCCTTATTTCAGAGTTCTTGTGCCTTTTTAATTGTTCCCACCTTCTGTATTCTAGACAGAGTTAAAAGTGACATTAAAATCTCTGCCTTTAATCACGAGTTAGAAGCCATCTCCCATTTATACCGTAAATGTTGCTGCTTTTTTCCTCCCCAAAGCCTTAATCTATATTTCATAAAGCTGAACATCTTTTCCTTTTGAATGAAGGTGTGATTTCATTTTTGTTTTGGCACTGGGCTATCGGGAAGAGCAGACCCGAGCCAGGACGAAGGCTGAGTCACACAGCCCCACAACTGCTAAGTCACATCGGTTTTGGAAACCAACACTTCTAACGTGATGACAGCAATAAGCATTTAGCCAGCGAGCCTCTCCCCACAGCCAGGGGTAAGGAAAGCTGATGTGTGTTTCTTGCAACACAGAAAAGTGATCATTAAAAAATTTGGAAGTGACTGTTAAAAAAACTAATTAATTTAAATTTGCACTTACCACTCAAATATATATTTAATTATCTACCATCATGTTTGAACAATCCATCATTCACAAAAATCTAAAGGAAAAACTGAAAATAAATTGTAATATGATCTGATTTCTGACTGCTTCAAATGAAATGTAACATGTCCCTGTTGGAGCTAGACGGCTGCATTCCTCCAGTAGCCCCAATTCCTCTCAACTGTAGTGGCACTGAAAGTAACAGAAAATAAATCTCTGAAAATATTTAATTGGAAGAGATTGATTTTCAAAAAGTCTCCAAGAACTTACTTTTAGCACACTGGTGAAACCACTGAAAAAATAAATTTAATTGTGAAATGATGCAGACAGCAGTGCTGTGAGCACTGATCAGACCTCAGGTAGCCCCTTCTAATACCTGAACAGTCAGTGCAGCCACACCACTGGTTTCTATTCATAGATACTTCTCTAAAACAGGTTTGCTTCACATTTTATAATGTTTTACAATTGCTTTAAATGTACACTTTGCTGCCTTAGAAGAAATCAGATATTCCCTCTTGTTTTCTGGTCAGAACAGTGTAAAGAATAGATACACAGCAAAAGAAAAGAGAACGGTGAACACAAATCATGTCATTTTTTTGAGTCAGTCTGTAGTTATAATAGGGAAACACTGGCAAACTGGTAATAAACACTGGATGTTTTTCCATGAAAATCACAGCAACTACAACATTTTCTAAATAGCTAGCTCTTCAAACCCCACCCCCAAACTCTCTGTTTTGCAGACATATCAAAAGAAACATTACATGAGTAACTAACGTGATCAGCTCAGCTGTCAATACTGAATACAGAGCACACTAACAAGCTATTAATTGATTTTTCCATCTTAGTTCATCGCATTTCATTTTCAGGGAATGTTCAAATGCTTTAATAGCTGGACATCCCATATTGACACTAATGATCTGGCTAGATAACAGGGGATGTTTTAAATTCTACACCTCAGTCCTGAGAGCTGTAGCACCTTGCATGCTAAAACAGCTACAAAATAGTTTATAAAATTGCTACAATATTTATGCTTCCCCCCATTCACTCATCATTTATTTTCCTCAAAATCGTCTGAATGAAAAGAATCTGCAAACCCCAGAAAAATCAGGTTTTAGAATCCCCTTTAAACAGACAAAACAGAAATAAAACTAAACTAGCATAGTTCAGTGATTAAAGATAATGAAGCATTTGGCGTATTTGTTATCATGACTTTTCTCGGAACTATTCTTGCTGAGTCACATGGTTGAGAACAACTTCCACTAAGACCTACCTGACCAAAATGTACTGTGATTGGTCTTCTGTCCTCTCTTAATTTCGGGTCCTTCTTCTCAGCCAGGGGCGACGGCGCCGTCCTTGGCAGGGGCTCCTCGGGCGCTGCCGAGCAGCCGTTCTCAGCAACGTCCTGTGTGGTAGGAAAAGGTGAATAGCATGGCCAGGAACACTCCTGAGACAGGGCAAGGTGCACAGAGGAGACACTACAGGATAATGCTGACTAACAATTTGGATGTTAGGGGGAAGAAACACCAAAGTACAGAAAAGAAAATATCATTAGAATAAAGCATTTCATTCATCAGAGCTTGTACACAACCCCTCTCTCCTCCCAGTACCAGTGGTGCAAACAGGACATTCAATAAAATGTCTGACTTGAACACGCAAAAGCCAGGAAGTGCATGTGGAGAAACAAACCATAGCTCAGATTTTCTATTTTAGAAATGAACTCAACAGAAGAGCAGGGACAGGGCATTCTGCTTATTGTAAACCTAAATGAACACAGTAATTCCATTAACGTACTGCACAGAATTATCCATAGCAGAACAATTACTGGTGGAAGTGGCAAGGAGAGATGGAACTCAGAGCTTAGTTAGCTTTGCATTTCATCTTGGAGCCTGTGTGCACTGAGTATGCCTCCAGGAGAGGGTACAACACCAAGGGCTGCCTGGCAGAACACTTTTTGTTTGCTTTGACTTTAGTTCTCATCTCCAGAAGTGAAGTGACCCACCAGCCCAGGTTAGAGGACTTAGCAAGTGCAGGGTGTGTAACACAGGTTTTGAAAAAGACAAAGGCCTGCAGACACCAGGAATCAGAGAAGGAGCAAAGAGTTTGAAAGTGAGTTGAGAAACAGTCTGCAACGCAGTGGGCCCCGAACCTTACATCTCTGCAACAATGCCAAGGAAATAATGCTGGGCAAATATGGAGAGAAGGCTGCACAGGCTGGAGCTCTGCAAGGCTGACCTGAGGGTGGCTGCTGCCACCGGCAGGGCTTTGATTCCCTGACCTCTGGCACGGCCCCGCAGCCCCCGGCTCGCTCAGGTACAATAATGAGCCGTGTAAGCTGATGGCCAATTAGAAATGGTTCCTTTGGACACACACTGACCTAATGTGTTTAGGTCAAATGAAACAAAAAGCTGGATGGACTTTCTAAGGGGCTTTGTCTGCTCCACAGAGAAGCTGAGACCCCTCTTTAGATCCAGCTGGTAGAGCAGTGGTTCCCCAATACGGCATAAGGATCATGGGGAATTAACAACTTGTTAAGGTCAAACTAGAGAGAAAAACTTTTTCTTCCCCCCGCCCTTCAGCTGCACAATGCCACCTTGTCTTGAAAAGGTACAACAAAGTCCTCCGAATTAGTAACAAAGAGCCCCAAAGCAAGGCATTGGCAGGAAACCTGAGTGTCTGTCAAACTCTACTCCAGCTCCAGACAGCACCGAGCCTCCAAGGGACCTCCTCAGCCTGGGACTCACACAGCCCAAGGCTCACACAGCCCATGGCTCACACAGCCCATGGCTCACACAGCCCAAGGCTCACACAGCCCATGGCTCACACAGCCCATGGCTCACACAGCCCAAGGCTCACACAGCCCACGGCAGCACCATTCCTTGCCATGAAACGAAACACAAACCCTGTTTACCTGTTCCTGTGGGGTGGAGGCACGCTGAAGGTGCCTGGAGCTGCAAAGCTCCAGCACGCCCAGGGCCAGCCAAGCTGTGCTGAGCAGGGGCTGCTCCCGGCCTGCAGGGCTCCAGCCAAGGCAGCACATGGCTGGGAGGCAGGGCAGAGCCAGGCACCTCCCAGGCAAAGCCCCAAAAAGCCAAAACCAGGACACAAAAGTTGGGACATGAGGGGAATGGGAGGAGATGAAAGATGGAGAGATTAAGCCATTAAGCAAAATCCCCTCAGATGTGTAACGATCACTGCAAATCCTTGAGCTTTTATTGCTATAGATTGCCCCTACTTCTCTGATGATATAATTGCATATAAAAGATAACATGTTCCTAAAGCCTACTTCCACTGAGTTGGGTGCACAGACTTCCAATGAAACCACTATATATTTTTTTAAAACTGCTTAATAAAAGATGAGAATTAAATTATCTGATTCCTCTCTATTTTTATAACATCCCCAAAAGGCAAACAAATCATCAATACAGCTTCATTCATCAAAGCAAAATCTGCTTCACAAAAGTTTGTTTTCTGTCTTCAATGAAAACACATTGGAGTTAAAAAATAGTGAAATCTGATGTTATTTTGTAATGGACTGCAAACACTGGCTAGAGAGGAGCAAAACACATTGAGTGTCTTGAACATTGTGCAGGTTGTGTTATAAAGCTCTAAATGAGTTGTTTCTAGAATACCAGGCACTAACTAGAGCCACACAGGGCTCTAGTAACTAAAATAATGCTGAATATATTAATGCCAAGTGCCCAACCATTTATATAAATTGTCTTAGCCAGAGCTGTCAGTAAGTTCCATTCTCCTGGCTGAAAGTTGAGGACGGTACCATTCATATTCCTCCCTCTTCCTAATTCTATGCAGTTAAGCTTCAAATGAGCCACTAACACAGGGACTTGACCACCACTGTCTGTGAGATGGAAAAAGGCAGCCTTTGCAAAAAAAAAAAAAAAAAAAACAAATGAAAAAGAAAAAAAGAGGGAAAAAAAAAGAAAAAAAAGAACTGTATCAGATATAAAATAAAGCTACTAGGCTGTATCTATTAACAATTATTTGCTCTCACTCATAAGAATCCTCTGAAAACTATTTCTGTTGCTTTGAAATACTGTACCACAAATGAACAAGGGATGGAAATGGAGCACCATTCAATCTCCACTATCATATTAAAGAAGGACCTTACACACACCACAGTGACCTCTCAACAGGTCAATCCTGCATTTCTCATTTGCAATTCAAACCCAAGACTGGAGCAGACCAAGGGCAAAATGGGCTCTTGATTATATTTAAGAGGTCACCATTGCTATGCAGAGTTGGAAGAAGCAGAACCTCCAGCTTTATTGCATTTTTAAATTATATCTTGTACAGAAGCTGCTCAGATTTGGCAGCAAAAACTGGAAAAGGGATGTTTATATTTGACTTTTCCTTACCAGAGGCCTGCATACTTTCTATATTAATAATGGAAAATAGTATGTTCAAATGCAGTGGATAGTAAGTTCAGTTTAAAAATAACCTTAGGTTACTCTTAGAAGATGAAAGACTAGCATCCCAAATTTGGCAAAAAGTAAGTATTTAATGATACCAGAATGTCAGACAGTTAACACTCACACATCCTAGTGAGGAAACAGGATAAATACAATGCTCTTACATAAAATCTGGGCACGTTGCATTAATAGACCTGTGCATAACAGACCCATAATGAAGCAGCACAGACATTTAGATTAAAAATTAGGGTAACCAAAGCAATGTTTGCTATTTTTATCACTTTCAGCAGAGGAATCCCTAATTTTAGTTACCTTCCTACCTGCTTTCACATGGAGAAGAGGATGGGATAGAAAAGGACAGAATAATAAAGCAAGGAGAGGTTGAGCAGCGTGTGTCAACTATTCACAGCTATCTTTTAAGCTCCTGTGAAAGCCCATGTTGAACAATCATGTTTAAGTGTCTCACTTACAGATACACCACATAAAGAAGGTGAAACAAAATTGGGCCATTTAGTTGTAAATGTTATGTGTGTTTTTTAAAGAGATGCTTGCTGCTTGAGAGACCAGGAAGACAACAATAATAATAAAACAAAGCAACGACTGAATGAGGCTTTTCTCAGCCTAGTATACAAATGTCAGACAACAGCACACAATTCTATTCGCATTTAAAATGCAGAAAAACCTGCTCACGTTACACAGCTCCAACTGCTTTAGAAACACACACAAAAAGGCAGAACGTTATGTCCAGGAGTGAAACACAGGCAGTGACACAGAAATCCACGTACAAGAAAGCTGCTTCATGTTTCTATTGTTTTCAAATTATACCTCCAGTGGTCATACATAACGTAGAGTAATAAAATAACATAAAAGCATCTGAAGGCACTTTATCTTCCCCGAGATTGTGCAGCAGTGTCTGGAGTGCTCAGAGAGGGAGCAGCAGCTGGAATGCACACAGCAAACCCAGCTGTGCAGAGCCCCCTTCGGGGAGCAGCCTGGGGACAGGCTCAGGAGCACTCCTGCCTGCCCACGAGCATTTGCAGCCCTAACTCAGGAGGATGGTCTAGAAATGTAGAGAAGAAATTCAGAGAGAGAGCACAGATTAAACAAAATCCACCCAAACTCCTATGCAACAAACTGAATACACATTTCTGAATAAGAACTTCAGTTCTCTCAGCAGGTCAGCTGCCTGGCTTCCTCTGGACTCTGAGAGCTCTGAGGCACAGAATAAAGGCAGTATCTGCAAGAACCCAGGGCAGAGTTACCCAGGTACTCATGAGGTGTGTGCCTGTGTGACTGCTCCTCTGGTTAAAAGGAGCAGCTGGGATTGGATAACACCTCCCTCAAACACAGCAGAGCAGCTGGGAATTGTGCTGTTTACAAACACACACACAGATTTGGGAAATAACAAACTGAGTATTTTTTCCTGCAATAATTCCAACTGCCAATGGACACCAATTCTAATAAATTCCATCCTGTCTGAACTTTGTAGCAGACATTCAAGAAATGCAGAAATCCCCTTCCCAATGGTGACAAACATGATGCTCTTTTTCCTGACTGATTACTGCAAAAATAACAATAATTTGCCACTTGCAAGAAGTTCACTGCCAGAACTGTAGGGAAGTGCTCCCAATCCACATGCAGTCCCCTCACACAGTGCCCCAGCACGAAAGACAGGAGCAGGACCACTCCAAGCAGAACACTCAATTTTCTGGCTTTTGTGGGTTTAAGTCAGAGCTTTCATGTATTTGAAGACAATTTTTTTTTGTCTGTGAATATTTATAAGTGTGAAAAATCCAGGACAGCTGGTAATGCATTTTGAAGTGTGCTAACAGCACTGTATCAAACAGCTTCCTATTGATCACATCATGCTTTCAGTGGCTAAGGATTTCAGACGTGGTGCTTATACATTTTGAATAAGAACTTCAAGTACCTTTTGCTTCAAGCGGTTTTTCACTTCTTTTATTCCCATTTTTGCATGATCTTTTGCCTGCATGAAAAATAATTTAAGTTAAAATTCCCTTCTATTTCCAGCAGTGACTAAGTTTGTTTTCAGTTAATAAAAATGGCAACAGAAAATGTAACAGGATACTGAAAACACATTAAAACAAACAGAAAGCTAAAAAGACCCCAAATAAACAAAAACCACCACCCCATCTCTGTTACAAAAATTTTGTTTTCCCTGTTTTGAAGCCACAGACATCTTTCATCTTTTTGCATTCCACACCCTCAGTGTTCCCCAGTAAGTATTTCTCTGTGCTATAAACTTCTACTCTTCCTCACTGGCAGTGAGCCTGAATACTCTCCTTGCAGTGCTCTGGGTGCCAGTTCCATTTAGTAGAGCCAATCTCATCCTACTCCTCTCTCTCAGGCTGGAGGAAGGCAGGAGAAAAACAAAGTTTGAATGGTTATCTCAATGCTTTTTGTAGCATTATTTCCCAGAACTGAGCATATAAGAAATCCTCACTTATTCTGTGCTGTTTGATCTGGCAGAGTGGAGCTGGCAGCCACACATGATAGCACAGCAACACACCAGCTGTTTGTTAACAGCACTGAAAACACTTCCATTTAAAGAATAACTCAGTAAGCTGGGCTCTAAATAAGCAGGTATAAGAAATCTCTAGGGAAAATTAATTGACATTTAGAAAAGATGGAAACAATTTGGAAAATGAGAGGATTCCCTTCTTTCGATGAAGCTGCAAGCAGGGAAAGCTGAGGTAACAATGATTTCCAACAGAGCAATGATGAGATGGTAGAGCTGACTAGCAGAGAACACAGGCACTATTTCCCAGAAAGAGTTCTGTGTAATAAATGGAATTTATCATCTGTACTTTCAAAAGAAATCACAAGTTCCCATTGTACATTGCATTTCAATTGAGTTTAAATTTCAAAATGACTTTTACATTTAAATTTGAAATTTGAATGAATGTATATTTTGAGTAATTTTGTGAGTCCAATAAAAATGGATGCAAGTCTTGAGTCTCATTTGAAAGGTTAAAACAGAATTGTAATTAGACTCTTATCTCAGTAGTAAGCCAGTACTCAATACTTACAAACTTATAGACAGTCTTCATGGCGGGGTTAGCCTTGGTCTTTACCGTGTTTAAAATGGCTCCACTTCCTTTCTGTAATTATGGGAACAAGGGAAGAAATGTTATCAAAGCTCTTTAAAGCAAACAGCCATCTAAAATCCACTATTCTTAACTTAAAATAACAGAGCATTTGCTATCCTTATTAGCAGAGCTGAGTATGAAAAGGTCAGATTTAAAGAAAAAGACCCAAGGAAAACCACTCTGAATGTCGCTCTGCTTTTGCCCAGTCCTGTTTAATACAGCACTGCTCCAAGGGACAGTACAGAGCCTCCCAAGAGCCCCTGTCCTACACGTCTCACAGCTGTGGCCTGTGCTTCCACTCACCTCAGAGCTGTTCTGTGCATTCCACTAAATCCTAACCAAGTTTAAGACACAAGTATCCTGAGCACCACTCAATGTCTGAGCCAGAGACTCTGCCCCAGGACAGTCTGTATGTTCAATCTGAAGAGAGGAGTCTGGTTTTACTTTGCTCTTTTCCTTTCCCTCCTCCCACAGTCCTGTTTATCACACACACGGTGCCTCTTTAAGATACAAGTAGTTGAGAAAGGGATAAACTGAGGGAAATGAAATCTAACTCCAGTTGCAAACATTAATTCTAGAACAGCTGAATTTCATGTGATGAATAAAATCAAAGTGATGAGCCAGTGATACATCTGTTCACCTGGTTGGTGTTCTACACCCCTGCCACACCCCACAGACTATTGCTGAACAGCACCTGACTGAGAAACACAGAAGGGCAAAATCCAAGCAATTCATGCTGTATTTCCTACTTTCAGTGCAAAACTACATTTCCAGAGATCAAATTTGATTATATTCAATCAGATGTAAACAGCTTTAAGATTTACTGTCTGTCACTACATGAAAATCTCCAACAGGCCAACCCCAGCTCAGGGTGTCTGGCAGATCTCGTGTGCTTACCCTCACTGTGGACAGCCACTGGTGGTACAGCTTGTCGCTACCTACAGAGAACCAAACACACAAACAAACAAATTGTAACCCTCTGCTGAACAGAAAACAAGTTCAAAATGTGAAGTGCTGGCACTTAGTGGTTCTGGAGCATGGACAGAAAGGACAGCCAGCCTTTTCTTTCAGGAGAGAACATAACACTGATGAGAGATTTACACTTTCCTGTTTCATCTGTGCTGTCTCAGACATTTGAGAACACAGATGTTTTTAAATTCACTAAAAGAAATCTGAGGTGGTTCTGAGAAAAGCCAAAATTATTCCTCCAATGCAAGAACTCTTTTAGCTCTACTTTATTAACATGGTAACGCTGAGGTTTTAAAAGACTGAACAAGCATTACTCAGACTACAATACATTATTCAAAGCTCTTGACAGACGAAAGAACAAAAATTTAATACATTGCAGGCTGCCAAGATCACTAAGCCTCATTTACCTAGCAGCAATGACCAATTACATCATGATAACCCACAAATGGCAAGCCAACAAAAGTGTCTGAAATTACCTTAAAATATTTCTTACCTGCATATTCTCCCATATTTATCTCCTCTTCAAACACGTCACTGAAGCCCTCCCCAGAGTTCAGCAGATCCAGACGTCCATCAATGAACTGCATGAGAAGACAGAAACACATCAACCATCCCATTCTTCATCCTTTCAGAAAGACTTTATCCTTCATTAGCTGGAATAACCTCAATGTTTGCACTGGGTAGGGACTCAAAATAGAATGAAAATACCACCCAAACTGACACAATGTTGACCACTGCCCTAAGGTGTGTGGCTTTGCTAAAAACCAGCCTTCATGTTTGGCTACACATACATGTTTTCAGCTGCCCTAAAGTAGCTGTTCTATGTTCAACAGTAATATGCTTCCTGGACAAAATTTACAGGAGATACCTTAGGTCTAGGCGTGCTCAGATAAGAAAAACCCTTGAGGTCTGAGACCATTGATGGGAAAACCCACCCACCTCTCAATATACAGAAAGTCTGAGAGATCCAGCAAGCAGGATCTGAGGTAGTGCACTACAGGGTCAAGGGATACAGAACCAGCCCCCCAGACCCCACCTGAATTGTTGAGAATCTGCTTCCCCATGGGTCCCTGGAGGCAGTACCTGCTTGAAGAGCTGCAGCTGGATGGCATTCTGCAGGAACTGCCTCATCACAGACGAACGGTGCGACACGAACGCTTCTTCGCAGAACGTGATGGGCTCACCCTGGAGAGTTCAGAGCATTACACACTCCAACAGCCTCGCTGAGCCCCTGTGAATCCACTGCCTGCACCTGGCCTGCTTCCCTTCCAAAACAAACAGGTAAGGAACACAGCCCTTACCTAGCATCAGAAAACTGCACTTTATTTGCAGGTCCCAGCCACAGGATGGAAAAACAGGCTGGAAAATTGCAGATCATCAAAACAAACTAGAGTGCCTTTACACATATTTTGCTAAAGCTGAAGAACTTTCATCATTCAAAAAACTTGTGTTACTTACTCTCCCCAAAATATAGCAAATATATTTATTGAATTAAAAACTAGTAACAAAGAAAGACTAAATTATACTGATGTATAATAATTATGAATGCTCATACTAACCCACATATATGCCTATGGATACTCATATTAACCCAAAATATATTTGGACTCTTGATCTGTTGAGTATTCAAAATTAACATTAGATAGCAAAAAGTCTTAAAGCATCCCCTTTAAAATGATTATATCATTCTATTTTTGAAAGCTTTAAATCAGTAATCTCATGTTTACCGCTGGCTGTGTAAAATCAACAGGGCAGCTAAAATGACTGAGGAAATAATGAGGAAATTATTAATTCCAAGTGTCTGTTTAAGCACAGGATGGGTCTTCTTGGCACAGGGAAGAAGTTACTTTCTTAGGAGAGTTTCTGTCACCCCTTGCTTGAACCAGTGAATTTCCATGGATTTGGGGGAAAAAAGCAGCTTTCTTACGTGATACACTTTCAGGGTAATTTATTTTAAAAATAGTAACCTGCTTTGATTTACTCTTTTTACAGGGAAAACCAAAATCACTACATGCTTTCCAGGCAAGAAGCGTGAGTGCGAAAAAACTACTTTTTTCTTCTTTGCTGTGGTTTTGGTCTCATCAGAATAAAGAATTATAAGACACTTCATTATAAAACAAAGAGAAAATGTTTGGCAAAACAGGTCTGGCTGATATGTGCATGCATATAAGACACTGTGCCAGTCTCCAGGACACACATGACAAAGGTTCTGGCTCCAAAGTCAAGGTGTGCACTGCCTGAAAGGTTTTACTGTGTTTAAATGACTAAGAGCTGCCATCTACTTGACCAGTGTGGAAAAGGCTTTCCCATTAAGTTCAGATACTGGAATGTAACAAAGGATCCCTGAAAAATATTTTATCCATGTTAGAGAAATCCAAGTGGAAAAGAGCTGGGAGGAATGGGTAAAGAGAAATGCAGATTAGTTCACTAGCACAGACGTTCACCCAAGGAAGGTTTAGCTTTTGTTTAATCCTCAGTTTAAAAACCCTTCAAAGGAAACCAGCAGCCCTTCCTATCACCTACAAGGATGTGAAATTCCTCCCCTGGCCAGAGCAGAGCGTGGACGCCGTGGGATGAGCTCAGCCCTGGCAGGGGAGGCGGCTGTGCCCTGCTGCACCCCCAGCAGCTCCCGCTGTGCCCCCAGCAGCACACACCCTGCAGCTGGGGCACCAGCAGTGCTAGCACACTTCCTTCCCAAAGTACTAATGATTGAGTTTGTTCATTAGCTTGATTAGACCTTTTGACTTCTTAAGAGACGTTTCGGGCTCAACGGCTGCTGGATGACAGAAAAAAACTTTAATCATCGAGGTCAAGCGTGAGCTCTGCAGCTCAGAATGCATTAGTGCCTTCCACCCTGGCTGACCTCCCCGAGCTGCACACACTGCTCCACCCCCAGCCACAGCTCCAGCACAAAAAGACACGCTGGACAATAAGACCATTTTCCTGACAGATCTGGTTAACTGTAAATTATAAAGCTAATCAGCTCTGCTTTTACTGACAAATGACATTATACAGGGGGGGACACCCGCAGAACTGCAGGTCTGGTGTGAAATGAACGGTCTTGTTTGCATGTGAAACAAGTCAAATAACTTGTCCTGAAAAACTCATCAACTCCTAAACTCGCTGGTTGCAACAATTAAAATTTAGGCCATGATTCATCAACACCTTAAATATCCATTAATATCTTTTTCAACTGTAAATGCCTAACAGAGGCTGAAGTATTGCACTGCAAAGGCTCTAAACGTGTGCACATGACGCGATGAGGAATCTGACTTGGTCTGTAATGTTACAGATAATTCACATCTATTTTGAGACGGAATCACAGAATTATTTTTATTACAAAATGTACACATTTAATCTCCTATCTTAACACAACAGAAAAAACTTTAAAATATAAGATTAAGATTCCCAGATGCACTGAAAAAATAGATGCCTTTTCTTTACAGATCTTTACAGATGCCTTTTCTTTACAGTTTTTGCAGATCTCCCTTTATATAACTATTTCATATTCATCTGGCATAATGAAGTTCATCAGGGCAGTGCTGCATCTCATGACCCCTGAAAAAGCTAAAAAGTTTCAGCCCACATCTGATCTGCTGCCAGACCTATTTTTATATTGGAATTCTGTTACATTCTAAAATAATGCTTAAAACTACTTAAGGCAGCAACTGGAAAATAAAAGGAGTCTAGGACTGATTTCAGACTGTTCTAGACTTTCAGGAAACCTGCTGTTTTATTTTAAGAAACCATAATACAAATTAAAATATAAAGCCCAATTTTGTTTAGTTACACTGTAAAAAATTTCATCACAATCCCTCATATTTTAAGGAAATAATTTTTTCCTCAGCTCACTGGTTATGGCAGGAACTTTCAGAGCAAGTATAAAGGACTAAAATATGTGGGACAGAAGACAGCTCAGATGAGAAGGACATAGAGGAAGGGACAGAGGCAAACACAAAGGATGCTTCTGGAAAGACACGGGAGCTCAGAGAAGCCATGGAAATCCAACTGCTCCCACTCCTGCAGGAGTGTGCACCTGATAACAGTGCTTTGCAGGCAGCACGTGGATGCTGGACAGAACACAACGTAATAAAGACAGGGGTCGAAGGCAGGGGTCAAATCAGGTCAACAGTGAGAATCCCCCATACAAGCAAAGATTTCACAAAACTCAGTTCTAAGAGGGGGGAAAAACCCAACAAAAAGATCATCAAGCCCAAGAAGCCCCAGCTGAAGAGTGTTTAGACAGCTCTCAAAGCTGTGCCACGGAAGGCAGGAGTGCAGTGGCAGCACGTGGGGCAGGTGATGAACCCTGTGCCGTGGGTGCTGCAGCACAGCCTCCCTGCAAACAGCAGAGCTGCTCTGCACAGTCACGTATCACCTGTCTATTATCACCTGATGCTGCACACCACACCCTGTACTGGCAATGGTTATGCTGCCAATGGCAAAGCCAGTAGGGATAGTCTAGGACTCATCAGCCTTAGTTCTATCCAGAATGATAAAGCAAGACAGGAGAATGATCTGGATAGATATGTGTCTGTGTCAAGTGCAGAAGCAGCCAAAGGCAAGGCACTGCTCTGCAGACCCTTCCAGAACTGGGATTGCAATGTCAGGGGAAGATTAGCTCATCACAGCTGAAGAAGGATCATCAGCCAGCCAGCGGGATTCCATAAAGAAAACCTGAAATTGGTGACAGACACCTGATAGGACATTAGCTCATTCAGCTGCAATTGCACTGACAAATAACCTCCCATAACCAGTCCATACATTCAGCACAAGAGAGCTCTTTGCATCCACCTCAGTCATAATGGGATCCAGAAAGCAGAGATCAAACTCTCCGCATTAAATGAACGATACCAGAGCTTTATTAGCATCTCAAGATGCAGCTCAGGAACAAAGAAATCACGTGTTCAGAGATTTGACCACACGCCTTCTAAAGAAAAGTACATTCAGGCTCTGTTCAGTAAGAGACTACCAGTTCTGACAAATGATTATTGCCAAGTGCAATCTTGAACAGCGTTTTAAAGCCAGGTATTACGAATGCAGACTGCACTGCCCAAACACACAGCATCTCATGGAAGAGCTCAGCTCCATCACCAGCCCAATTGCAGACTTTTTCAGCTCCTCACTACAGAATACAGCCTCTGGTAGAGACACAGCAAGAAGACACAAACCCAACTTCAAAAAAAGACAAAACTGTCAAAAAATGTGTAACCAGTGAAAACTCCCATGGCAGAGCAATGGTTTTGCTTCTTCCTTCAAACTCTGTTAATTCATCAGGATACCTGACATTTTCATGTTAGACCAAGTAAAATGACATGCACTCCTACCCACAACTAATGAAAGTACATCACTGCAATGGAGCCAGCCAGCTTTCCAAGTGTTTGCTTGGCTGATTCCAGCCATTGCCTGCCTGGATTTCATCACCTACAGCAGGCAGACACTTCCTGTCCCTATGCAACTGCTACAGCTTCCTAGATGGAACTCAAGCAACAAGCCTGGCACATGAAGTGCAAAGAAGCCAGCAAGAAAGCTTTTAGGGCTGGGAGGAAAAAGAAAGGAAGAAAAAAAAAATCACCATTTCACAGATCAAGAATAGAGGCATGAAAATAATAAGTAACTTGTACACGGTCACAAAAGTCTCTGGCAGAGCCAGGGAAAAGAACCGAAATTTCTTTAATCCCTGCTCAGTCCCTTAAATACAAGGCTATTCTTCCTCTTCCTACTTGATATTGTGTCAATGCAGGAGTGTAGGTGTTGAAAGACTAACAAAAGGAAAGTAATAGTATGGTATTATGAGCTGAGAAACCTAATCTTTATCAGATACAGCAAATCTCTATGATGCTGCCTGCACTGGGAACTCTCTCTTTGTCCTGAATATGCTTTAAATTACTGGTATAATGTGTACTGGATATTGTTCCACTCTTATATTTATTCCACAAAAACCCCTGTGGCCTGCATGCGATTTTATCATTAGCTGGCAAGGTAATTTCAGGGCCTGGTTCTGCAATCATTCCACGAGCAATGCTCCCATTGAAGCTGGGACGTTCGGCATGCAAAGCAGCTGCCAATTCAGGGTCCCTGCAATGAAAAGGCCTTTTTCTATTTTAACTATTGTGGAATATTAGTGACAATACAGAGGAGGAGAAAAATTGCAGTGCAATTCTTTAAATGAGTTATTTTATACT